GCACTTAAAGGAGTTGTGTTTAGTATGGATGACAACTTCACGAGCCTTACCTTGTAAGAAGGAGAAGAAGTATGTTACAATGTCATTAAAATGAGTAATAAAATATTTACCTTTGGACTCTCGTAAATCATGACTCTTTATTGGTATGGCATAGTGATTAGGGTTTTCAGGTGGTAACCCGTTAGGAGGGTCACCTAGCACTATTCGACAACTCTTGGCGATGGAAGATGGTGTGGGCCAGTCTCGTGTTGCTTTTACTTTCTCATCATTTACATGGATTCCCTGTGCACGAACTATAAAGCATGTGGAGTTGTTCAAGTCATGTTTTGTCATTAAGATGACGTTACGACTAAGGCTTTTATGGATGTAGCCTTTTTGTAACAAATCTAACTCTTTGGTTTCTTCGAGATTGTATGTTTGACAAGGTATGATGGAACCTTGAATTAGATTGGTTTGGTGTTGTTTTCCTTTTCCCAGTGGTAACCCGTCAGGTGGATCACCTAATTCTTCTCGAAAATCCTGTAACAAAGATGAAACACACTAGACAAATCCTTGTTAATGTTAGAAATCGAAACAATTGATTCTCTAAAGCGAACAAGGATGGAAGGCTGTTTGTAAAGAAGGTTCTCTCTCAATTCTTTTGTGCTCACACATAGATTTTGAGCCACTCTTTTATTCTCACAATTAGGTTCACTCACCTCCCATGGGTCATTATTCTTTTGGCTTTTGTAACTAGTGACCTCTTTTTCTTTTGCCTCTTTCTCATTTTTTTCTTTTTTTGCTTTCCCAACCTCCTCACAAATTATCATTTGATCTTTAGGGGCTGGAAGTGTGTCATTCTTTGCTGGTCGTTCTTTCTCCTTGTCAGGTTTGTCATCTCTTGGTTTTTTCAGAGAAGATGGAGCAGAATATGAGGAAGGATTTGAAGGATTACCTTGGTAAGAGGATGAAGTACCTTGGTAATGTTCTCGGAATCTCCTTTGGATTTGTATTTCGATTGTCATTGCTTTCTTTAGTGTATCTTCAAGGTTTTCATACCCTTGTAGATCAAGAAGATCAGTGATGTTTGAGTTTAAGCCGACGACGAATCTTGACACGGTGACTTCTTATTTTTCGGTTATGTTAGCCCTATTGAGTAAGGACTGCATCTCCTTGTAGTAATCTTCAACTGAACTTCTACCTTGTCGAAGTCGGTGTAGTCATTGTTTAACTTCTCGTTTATAATGTGTCGGTAGGAATAGGTTCCTCATGGTTTGTTTGAGGTCGGTCCAAGAAGTGATTGTTGGAATTTCGAAGTTCTGGATCTTTTTCCTTGTTTGTATCACCAAGTTCGAGCATATCCTTCGAATTGTGTGGTGGTGAGGTGAACTTGTTTAGCTTGGGGGCAGTCATGGTATGCGAACATGAGATCAAATTTTCCTTCCCATTCTATGTACCTGTCTAGATCATTGTCTCCTTTAAAAGACGGGATCGTGAACTTTGGTTTTGCAAAGAGTTCAGGTGCTTGAAAACGTGGTTGTTCTCGCCCGGGTACCAAAAGTTCAGCATTGTTAGGTCTTGGATTCTGGTTTGGTAGATCCAGTTGTGGTTTTTTTCGTTCTCTCACGATTTCATCAAATCTTTCAACTTGAGTCTTGAGTCGGGTAAGTGTGGCTAAGATAGCCGTAAGTGTCTTGTTGTTATTGTCGCTCATCCTGAAATCATAACACTCAAAAGAAAATTTTAAAGTAAAATAAAAATAAAAGAAAGAAAATTCAACAAAGCAAGAAACCTCACAAGTCACTCCAAAAGAACTAACACAACGAGAGGCAAGTAAGCCAATCTTGTATTCTTTAAAACTCACTTTACCAAGTAGTCTTCCACAGTTCGTATCGGAGTTTGATTACTAGCAAAGGCGATAAGAAAAACCTAAAAGTTCTAAAAGGCCAAACAAGGGTTAGACTCCAAGAGAACGAGAATGCAAAGAAGGAAGAAGTATGCAAACACTTTAGTCCTACTAACACAATGAAGATAATGTGTTAGTTAATGCAAAAGAACAATAACAAGGAAAAACAAAAGAACCTAAAGCACTAAGAGTCAAAGAAAAAAAAGAACCAACCCAGAAACCTGGAAAACGCTGGATCAATTTGAGAAACCTTTTTGAGGGGGTTACCGGTGTCAAAAAATTCTGGAAAAATTCTTGAATGTCTTTTAATGCGTCAAGAAACCACCTGTAAAATTTCAGAACCAAATACCTTCAGTAGTATCCAGTAGATTCTGTTGAACGGTGAGTCCTCAAACAATCTGTTTTTCTTGATCTCTTTGTTCGAAGGTGTTGTTGATCTCCAAAAATTCTGATTTTTTGTTTGAATGATATTCAATTTATGAATTTTCGATCTGAAAATTTTCACCACGAAATTCCTCCTGTAAAGTTTCAAGAAATTCGACAAGATTCTAAACCGAATCTGCCGATGAAACTTGAATGATGTATTTGAAGGCTCCAATGAACTCCGATTGGGGTGAAATTTGGACTGCGGATTAATCTTAGCATTAATATGATATATGGATAAAATCAGCCCTAAATACCTACGTTTGCAATTTTTTGAATTTTTGGCTTTTTTTTTTTTTTTTTTTTTGTTTTTTTGAAAAAAAAAATAGCAAACTAACAAGAATGATTTTAATCTAAATTAAAATTAAATAAAAAGAACCTGAAACGCTGAATCTTTTGTGAACTAGCTCCGTTGGGGTACCTTGACGGTTTTGTGTGCAAGAACAAGCATTATTGCTTGTTTCTTTCCAAGAATCTGCCCAAATCTGATACCAATTGATAGGGAAGCGGTGGCGGGTTAATGAACGTTTCTCTTGTTGAGGAATCAAACCTAGAAAAGCTCTAGACTCGATGAAGAACAATAAGGAATGAATGGGGAAGGTTGCGAAATAACTAGGGTTCTTTGGGGTTTCTTTTGGTGCTGAAAACAAGGTAAGAAACAAGATTAGAACAAGATAAACAAAAGATAAAGGAATTGAAAATAAAGACAAATAACCAAGAATCAAAAGATCTCCCTTATGAAGGTGAACGGTAAAGATGATGATGGTGAAGATGGATTTGTGGAAAATAGATGGATAAGTGTCCTATCGAGCCCTCCTAGTCGCAATGAAAAGGAAAACACGATAATACGGCTCTAACCAACCCTCCTAGTCGCAATGAAAAGGCAAATTGGAGTGTGAAGATTAATCTCCCTCACAAGAACTTGAAAGAACTCCAGGAGAAGAAGCTTCGAAGGCACAAGGCAATCAGCACTTGCAAAAACGAACTCTCGTTGTATTATTAATCAAAGAAATCTTGAATTACAAAGTTTAATGAAGCCTCCTTTATATAGGGGCTGAGTTCTAAAGGCCTTAGATAACTAATGTATAAAATAATAATAAACTAAACATGTCTTAACTCTAATTCCTAATAAAATAATAATAACTAAAGATAATATTTTAACCCAACCTTAATTCCTAATAAAATAATAAATATAATCCTAAACGATAATGCATCATGCTATATTAAGTTATATTACAAATAATCAATAAAAATATTGAAAATTCGTAATATTTACAAAATCTCGTATTAATCCCGTATAAGATTTTCTGCATGCACCGTCTTCAGTAAAATGGCTATATCTTGAGTTCCCGATATCGGATTGATGCGATTCAAGAACCGTTGGAAATATAAGGGACAGACTCTTTTATCTCCAGAAGACATGTTGACCAAATAAGATCATTATCCCATTCAAAAAGTCGTCGTAATTATGCTGCTGTTCTGATCTTCTTTTCCAAAGTTTGGACGAGTGGATCATTTGGAAGAGTTATTACTTCTTCCTTTGATGTGAGCCTTGTGATGTATGTATCATTCTACAGAACTCCTCTCTTTAATTTGATGTAGTTTGGGTTTTTCTCTAAATCATCAATCAACGGGATATTAATTGTGAGTTGGCGAAGGACATCAATGAAAGCTTTGTATTGCTGATCTTCTTTTGTCTTCTTGAAATGCTGTGGAAATGGTGGAGGCATTTTTTGTTGTTGAGGCTGAGGCATTGAAGTCGATGGAGTGTCAGATGTAACAGGTGTTGCTGTCGGTAATGACTCTAAATTACAACACTGCCCTTCATTTGATGTTATTAAATAACTCACAGGTGGCTCGGGCTCAACTTCTTTGCTCTTTTTTACCATGCTTAGGAACCTCCATAACATTCTTTTTAGACTCCTCAACAGGCTCCTCATTATGAATTACACTCCTTGTAGTAATGGCTTTACAATGCTCTTTACTTTTTTGCTTTGGATTTTTCGGTGTTGTTTGGCAGCGTTCCTTGCAACCGACTGTTTAGAGTATTAGCCATTTATCCCATATGATTTTATAGAGCCCTTAATGAATATGATTGGCTTTCCATATACTATTTCATCAAAGCTTCAAGAGATAAGTTGAAGTTTAGGTTGGATATTGACCTTGATAGTTTGACTTTGTTGTGGTTGAGCAACAAGATGTTGTGCTTGTCGCTGTGGCATCATGTTCTGTTGATTATAATATTATTGCTAATATTGCTGCTGCAGGTTGGCAACGTTCTAACTTCTCCAAGAAATATTGGGATGATTTCTAAAATTTACATTATACGTTTTGCCAAAAGCGTTATCATTCATTTGATAATTTCGCACATAGTAGATATATTTCAGATTTTGGGGGCATTCATCAAAATTGTGATTATCGCCATAATAAACACAAGTCATGAGAGATGCATATTTGACTTTATACATTCCTCTTGGTTTTTGTAATTTCTTCACCATTTTCGTCAATGTTAAAATCTTTACAATATCTCGTATTAGGGTAATAACAATCATTAGATGAGATCTTTTCCAAGATATCACATGCTTCTTTGTATGTCTTATCTAATAAATATACATTTACTAAAGCATTGACCACCATACGAGTGTGTATATTTAGCTCATTGTAAAACATCTTTATTTGAGTTCAATGTGGAAATCCATGCATAGGACACTTCCACAATTCCTTGAATCTTTTCCATGCTTAATACAAGCTTTCATACTCCATTTGTTTGAATGAAATTAAATCATTTCAGAGTTTGGTATTCATGTTCGGTGAGTTGAATCAAACAAAAATTTATGTACTAACTCATTTCAGGATACTATAACATCTGGACAAAGGTGTACTCAACCAAGCCCATACTTTATCACACATCGAATAAGTAAATAACTTTAGCTTCAATGCCTCATTCGAAACATCTTACTAAATAAAGGAATCATAAACCTCTATAAACGCTCTCAAATGATCCATAGGATCTTCAACAACAAACCCTCTATATTATCCCATAGATTGTAACATTTGGAACATAATCGACTTTAACTCAAAATTCACAGTATTAATCACTAGCCTCACAGTGCCTGGATACATATCATCCAGTTTCGGCACCACATGCTCACGGATAGGGTGATTACGATCATCAAAATTTTGATAAGGTTGTTCAGGCCCAATGCCAACTGGCAACTCATCATTTTCTCAATTATGTAACGGGGGTAAAATACCATTCCCTCGCCCGACCATAGTTGTCATGTTCTGGGAAATTCACAGTGACTTCTCCTAAAAGTTCTTTTAATGTCTGGATCAAATGACGTTAATTCTTCGTCGCTTCGGGGCATACACTACCAAAAACAGAAACTAAAAATACCTACAAAAGAAAATAACAAGGTAAGAAAAATAAAAAAACCCCGATAACAGTGCCAAAAACTTGATGCTACGAAAATACTATAGCAATTGCGGAAGTTCACATGTCGATATCAAGTAATAAAGTGGTAGAAAATGAATGTTGCAGATGTCGAACCCATAGGGAGCAGGGTGTTTTCATTAGATTTTGTAACATAAAGAATATTGAGTATAAAATTATGCTAAGTAAAAGATAGTAAAATCAATAAAGGAAACACCAGTTCATGCTACAGTAGTCCAAAGAGCACTAAGTCAACTATCAAATCGATGGAGAAAATATTGTGAACATCAAATCTTATGCAAACAAAGCATACCAAATTTATGTGATTAGCATTGATTAAGACCTTTTGAACTTTTGTACCTACTATTATTAATTAAAGGTTCAAAATATTAACAACATCAATCAGTTGGTTGCATGATTTACAGCACACACTACTACTACTTATCAACAACAACGCTGTAAAGGTTTATAGCAAATCAACCAAATCTATTTCTAGAAATAATTGAAATTACCATATATTTAATCATAAGTATTTTTACTCATAACCATAAAGTACCAAACTCATAAAAGAAGTATCAAAGTAAACATAAAATAAGAAATAGACAATATCATCCATAAAAGGTTTAAAACATTCAAACCACTCCCTCTTTCAATAGAAGTCATCAAGTTGTGATCTTCTGATGTTGATGCTACTCAGCGAGCTCTCCTTCTGTTCCAGCAATCCCTGGCATGGAGCTTAAGCTTCCATGGCGTACAAAGAATTAACGTGAAAAAATGGGTACTTTTGAATGGCTTCCAATCATCATACATTTTGGCCTGCAAGTACTCTCATTTATAGCTTGGATGAAATTCTCATCTTCCAATGAAAAGCTTCCACGTTTCAGGTGATATCCAACCCATTGACAGTTGCCCAAGCCAGTTTTCCCATCCAGAAAGTTCTCTCAACTGTCTGGAGCTTCATCAACTGTTGCAGCATCTGCTTAGCATTTCCTGCAATGCTACGACATCAGTGCAACAATTTTACAGTAGTAAAAATCAAATTTAGCCATTGGCAGCCCAAAAAGGTCCTAATATGTAAAATATATGAAATTAATAAAATTTTTCCTAAAATGCTCCTAAAAATGTTAAAGTTCAAGCTAGACCGAGGTGAAAAAGGCTACTAAAGATAACTCTTTGGAGAGTTATTACCACCTGTAGTTCCTCATCCTCCAATCCTTGGCTATTAGACAGTTGTATAACTCACCACATCACAAATGATCTCCAAAATCTCTACAATCATAATTACTACACTGGTTTAGATAAAGCAATGATTGTTGATGGCTCTGGTGTTCCAATTACTCACTTTGGTTCTACAATCTTCCTACTCCCTCTCACTCATTTACACTATATAATGTTCTTTGTGCTCTTAATATGAACCATAATTTAATTTATGTGTCTCAATTTTGCAAATCAAACAATACTTCTACTGAATTCTTACATTCTTTCTTTTTTGTCAAGGTTCTCTAGACCGGGGCAATTTTTTCCAAGAAATACCTAAACATGGTGTCTATGAGTGACCCTCAAACTCCACACCATTACTTGTTTTCTCTGGAATAAACACAAAATCTCATGTTTGGCATCATCGACTTGGTTATCCATCACTCTCGACCTTCAAGTACATGATCTCCTCTTTTCATTTAGATGTTAATAAATTTTCTCTATAGGATACATATTGTAATGCTTGTCACTATAATAAAAGTCACAAACTACCTTCCTCCACTTCCACCTTATCATCTTTATCCACTCTTGAAATAGTTTTTACTGATGTATGGACTTCTCTAATACATTTCATCGACAACTTTAAATATTATATAATCTTTGTTGACCACTTCACTGAATACATATGGTTGCATCCTTTAAAGCGCAAGTCTCATGCTCATGATACTTTCATCTGTTTTAAAGTCGTTGAAAAATTCTTCACCGCTGAAATTAAAACAATTTACTCTGACAATAAGGGTGAATACCAAGCCTTATTTTCTTTTTTTCACCATCAATGGAATTTCCTATGTAATATTCTAAAAATTGGGTCAGTGATCATAGTGAAATAATTTAAAATTTAGTAGGTTTAATTGAGTAAATTGAAAAGTGTAAGGAATGATTTAGGAAATTATATTTAATATTAATTAGTAAGGAATAGAAGAATTAAAGGGCATTTTGGTCTTTTAGAAGAAAACGAATTTAAAATTTATTTTTATTAGGAATTTAAATGAGAAAGGGGGAAAGTGGAAGAAGCTAACTATCTTTCTTCTCTTCTCCTTCTTCCCCATGAATGTGCTCTCCCATAGCCAATGTAAATTTTCTTTGAGTTAGTTTATTCTTTAGTTTATGGGCAAGTCTTGAAACCTTAAGTGATTTTGTTGTTGGGATTCTTCCTTTCCTTTAGCAACATTGTAAGCTTATTATCTATTATTTAAACTTCAAATGTTATTGTTAAATAGTTTGTTAAATCTATGTGTGTGTATATATATATTGATGTTGTGTGCTAAGGATGACATGAATAAAAACATTCTTTTCTAAATCTCTTCCTGTTCCTCTCCTCCACCAGAATGTATTTATGGATTAAATTGTGTCATGGCTCATTTTTGTTTTCTTAAACTAAAATTGAACGGAACTCGAGCTAAACTAAAAAGAACGTAACTGTAAAAAATGCTAATTTCATATTATAATTGTGATGTGTCTAGAAATATGGGATAAATGATGAATGTCACAAGTTGCATAGCCCAAAGAAGAAAAAGCAAAGAAAAAAGTGGGAGATTTGTAAGATTTTCAACCAAACTAGAGCGCCAGTTTGTAAAAAGCAAAAAAGAAAAGCGTTAACGAAAAAGAAAAAGCCCCCCTCAATCCATGTAGTAATAAAGAAACAAAGAGAATAAGGATACATTTTGATTTTCCCAAACAAAAAAAATCATTTAACAAGATGAAAGTTTAAATATTTTTAATTAATCATTGATATCCTGTTTATTGATAAACTATTATAGATTTGAGTTTAAACCCTTGATCTAACTTAAGTAATCTAGTACATCATTCCACTAAACCAACTTATTGTTCGTGAAAGGTTAAATTCTTTAATTAATGTTATTGTAAAACTATATATTTTACTCTGTGATTTTTATACAAAAATAAATTAATTATATTAAAAATATTGCTATTTTCTGTTTTAAATTTCTTACATTACGTATTTATATAGGTACGTGTGTAACATATATTATAGTAGGAGGTTGGTGTTGTTTCACTTGATTCTCTTCTTTTTCTTCTGCTTTACTTTTCGTTTCTCTTTGACTTATTAGTTTTCCTGTCTACAATCTGTGCCATGAGCTTCACTCCTTTCTATTTCTCTCCTCAATTCCCATCTCTCCATCTTCTCGTAACTCCTCTCCTTTCTCCATTCGCATTTCTTCAAATCCTGAATCTTGCTTTTGGTTATGGTTGAATCCATGTTTGTTTTCGTTAACTCTCAGGAAAGACAAGTTGTTGTGAGGCCTGGGCAGCCGGGACTGGACGGTGGTGGAATGGACTTGCGCCAGCAGCCACTTGCGGTGGAGTTCGACGTTGATTTCTTCTGCCCCGTCGAACATCCCATGGAACCTCTCGGTGAAGATCGGCCTGTGAAATGCCCAATGTCTGCTTCTTCTTCTTCTTTCATATATGTACGATACCATATTCTTATTTCTTGTCGTATTTTTTACAAAAGTTGATTAAGATAAAAGACGTTACTCAACTAACGATGATATGATGAGCTAATTTGCAAAGTATTTGTTTTTGAAGGATGAAAAGGGACTCGAAGAAAGAGTTGTAGCGGAGAGTTCACGGAAGAGATCAGAGCAACCAACGACGGTGAACAACGGAATTGCGGCGATGGCAATGACGGCGGAGCCACCGGTAAGAGCAGTACGTAAAAGGCATCACCCGTGACAGCCACATGATGGCGGAGCGGAACTCTTTCCATTTCTCAAATGCTTAATCGATTCCACCAAATTTGAATCATTTGAGAAGAAACAGCCATCTTCTTTTTTACATTCTCGTAATGTTTTAGTTTCAAATGCATTTAGTTGGAGAGCTCAGAAAATCGAAAATTTTCCTGGGAAAATGCTTGAAAAAGAAAACGCAGCCCAATGTAGTACTAGCATGTCGAGTCCATTATGGGGTGTATTATTTATATTCGAAGCTTTTTCTTAACGAGGGAACTCTTATGACTCGGAAAATATGAGATTTAGTCACTTCATTTAAATGTCTTTGTTTCTCTTTAAAATAATAAAACATTGTAAAATTTTAGTGGCATAAAACCAACTCATAAACAGAAAATATAAAATAAAATAATTAAATTATATAAAAATTTAAAATGTCTAATGAACGAGTATTCTTCTTTACACTCTCGACCTATCACACTGCTCATGCTCGTATTTAAATATGAATATCAAATACGAATATTTATAAAACACAGTAGTTAGGGTTGGCCAATGAAGATGGGTAGGCCTTCTCAAAAGATGTGGAGGCTATGTGTTTTAAGACAAGGTCCTTAAACTATTTTATAATAAAACTAAATTATAAAATGGGACTCTTAAAGTATATATTTTTTCTTTAGAAATCATGATTTTAGTAGTTTTTTAAGGAAGAAATGATTACAATCCATTTATTGTGAGTTTTTTTTAATAAGAAATGATTTCAATTCATTTATTAAGATAATAAAGGAGAAATCTAAAATATTTTTTTAAAACCTTATTATGAAAACTAATAAAGAAATAATAACAATTTCTTGGAGAAAATAATTTTTATTAGCAGATATTTTTTTAAAGTGTGAAGCTTTTAAAATTTTGAGATAATGTGACCTATCACATCCTACGTATGTAAAAAGGATAGGCCTGAGGATGGACCAACAGAATCCAATACATAAACAATCAAACGAAGAGAATGAAGTGAAAGGCTTTAATTTCCTTGAGTCTCAACTCAGTAGAGGGGACCATTCTTCGACTAAAATCCATTTGAAAGCAAGCACCAAATCTAATCTTTATTGGGATTTTTTTAATTTTTATTTTAATAGATATTACCATGCACCAAATCTAATCTTAATTCAGATTTCTTTACTTTAATGATATATTACTTCAACTTTTCCACTTACACTCATATTTTACACACCCCTGTTTCATTGCACCAATGCTAATTTCTTATACTAATCGGACATTTCGTTTTTGGTCGTTCCATTTTTGTATTATGACATCTCTCTCTTAAAAATTATAAAAAAAATTCAAAACTTTCTTTTAAATTTATGAAAATGTCTCTGTATTTTTCCTTCTCAAGTTTTATTTCAGATTTATTTTGATTTTTCAAAACTAAGACGTCTTTTTTTTTCTTTTTAAATTTCAGTGGTAAAGAGGCAAAGTTTAACAACAAGAATTATAGATCAAAGCCATTTTTTTCGAGTTTTGTGTCAAAATTTAACAAATTTTAATAGTTTAAGAAAATCTGAACTAATAGAATGATAGAAGACAATAAGACAAGTTTGTCAATATTTAAAATGGTTGAAAAAGACGATAGAGAAGTGTGAGATTGATGGTAGTATGCGATGAGAACGAAATTATAAGAGTTTTAAAGTTGTTGAAAAGATAATAAAATGAAAAAAAAGGTAAGGAAAAAAAATAAATTTTACTTCAGAAGAAAATATTCCATGCCAACAAAAGCTGATTTAACACTTAAATAACTAAAAAAACAAATAATTTGAAAGTTAAATCAATTATTTTTTTAAAAACAATAGTCAAAATAATAATATGATCAAAACTGAGGGAGGAAAAGCATAGTTTACCCAAATAAGATTTTTCACTTTAGTGTGTAGCTACGTATCCGGATTTGGATAACATACTTGCCATTCCGTTCTCAAGAAAAAAATGATATACTCTGGTTCTGGCAACTTATCTACCATGTCAAATCCACATTGATTTATTTATTTGCATAATCATTTTTTTTGAACTTTCAATGAACAAGAATGGATATATTTTCAAAATTGGAAAATAAAAAAGGGATTTCGGTGCCAAAGCTAAAATATGTCAGCAAATGCAGGCAGCATGTGGGGACAAAAGGCAGTACCACTTTATCATACAATATAACGTTACCTGTTTTAAAAAAACAAGAGAGAAATGTAGCTTTCAATGGGGGAGGGTGAGTGAATAATTATGTTACTTGGACTCGATATGAATATCCGATACGAAATATATGTCCCATAATGAAATGCTCAAAGAGAGATGTCGTTTTCACCTTAAGACTAAACGAAGATGTGTAGTTTCCACTTGACTTCACCTATGGGTTAGAGAGAGGAACCACTTTGACTCGAGTGTATCAGATATAGGCTGTGCTCGACTCGAGTGTAAGTATCGGGTATAGAATATGTGCTCTACTAGAGAAGGATACAATGCCGAAAGTATATAACTAAGGCAAATTTGACTCGCCTCTAAAGGCTAGGGGTAAGCATTTATCGGTTTAGTTAATTTGATTAAAAAGAAAAACAGCTTTGGGCTATAAAATATAACAATCCAAATAGCTAATAAGCTGACGCATTTATCAGAACATCATCATAGAATCATGACACATCAAATTTGATACTATATATCGCTTGATGAGCTCTCCATTGAGGCAAGCTCAGTGATATTTCTTTATGTAACTTACATGAATACTCCTCCCATGCAGTAATAGCAGCAGAAAATGTGACTGGATCAAAATAACATTGATCTGCACTATGAAAAACCGTCTCCACTAGTTTACTATCCTTGAGAAATTCAGAATTCACCTGACTGATCTTCTCAGATTGTGATTGTGATAATCGAACCGCCTTTCCGCATTCAACTTTGTTTGTCAAATCTTGAGATTTCCACAATTGCCAAAAGTAAAACTGTGCCACCTGTTCAAATCAGGGATTTACTCCGGTTATCGCAGGATGATCGGGTTATCCTCTGAAACAACTTTAGGAATTGCAATGGGTGGACTCATTTAATCTCGTGGATAAATTCAAAAATGACCCTATCTTATTATTCTATTGCATAAATCAACAAAATTTTTGAAGCTGAAATACCCATAGTAAGAATACCTGAAGTGAATGCAGAATGTTGACAAATTTATGGTCAAGCAATTGATCTCGCCTTGCTAATTGCATTGGTTCCACAAGGAGTTCAGACCAATCCGTGTTAAAGTTCAAATCTTGGGAATAATATACATCAAATCCAAGAGAATGTAATCTTCCCAAGTGAATATCGAATCCGATGTCTTGATTAGAAGCTTGGTTAGGAGAAAACCAGTACATATTATCTAATGCTGGCACAGGTAGTAATGACCATGGCACATTGTTAGACTTGTGCATTAGGTTTTCTTCAAGTAGCGAAATAAGTTTAGCATCCTCGTCATGGGAACTATCACGGCTGAACCATAAAGTAAGTGTCAGCCGTTCTCCATCAGCTACCTGTCAAATAATGTAATATTTAAACACCAAAATGGCCAACTTAAAGGACCCTTCTTAAAAATTGCAGCACATTACTTCCTAAACAACTTTTTTTCTAAAATACTTTCTTACTGCTTACCACACAGGATTGAGTTTTATAAAATTGTCAAGTCATGAAAGAAAATGGAAGTCATGTGTTATGCTTATCGGAGTGATTAATCGGCAAACAAACTGATCGAAAAAGAAAAATAAAGAACAACAAGATTTACGTGGAAAACCAAGAAGGAAAAACCACGGGCAGAGAATAAGAAAATTTCATTATGTCAAGAAAGTGCAAATCTGTTACATTCATCGCTTCCAAAAACCCTATTCCCAATTTTCTATTCACATGGATAGGAAATCTTGTTCAACAAGGAAACAATTAGGAAGAATCCTACCCTAACAGAACTTCCTTTCTTGATCAACATAAAGGCGGCAGAAGAATCAAAGTTCCAAACGGATTATACTGCTCCGTACACTAACATTATGCATAAGTCAATTTTTCACTAGGAACATGACTCAGCTAAGACAAAGTATTGAGACTATCTTCTTAGCTCAAATCAAACCTCAATCCAAGCTTGAAATCCTGCTTTAAAAAAGATATCAAACCCAACACTAAGAACCTAAACTTCGCTTTCCCAATTGAACCCTAGTAGCACTTACTCCAACCATAGGTGCAATCGTTTTCGGTTCCCCATCTTGGAAATGAAACAGTCCACCTTCAAAATCCCTCCCGTAACTATTCAAATAACATACTGCCTTCAAACAAAAACGAAACACCCTCAGGCCTCAGCAGGACTTATTCACAAAAGACTAAATGTGAAAGGCATTAATATTTCTCAGAAAAAGCTGTGAACACACACCGTAAAGTCGCGTTGCTAGAGATAAGGCCTGTTATCATCACTATGCCAACATATACTTGCTCCTCTGCTCCAACTACAATAAACATTATGTATGGTAATCATAACATTAATCAAAGGTAAAGTGAATAAACAAACATATGCACTTCCACTTGTCACTTTTCTTTAAGCATCTATGTCACTTGTACATGGTTATGGATATGCGGGGGAAAAAATCTACAAATTCAAAGATACCCATGTCATACACATATCCATATCCGACACTCTCATCAGAGTTTGAGTAAGAAATTAACAATCCTTTATTACTATTAACTTCCTTTAAAATTCAGGCCAAAATTGGTACCTAATGAGACCAGTGAACTCAGTAACAAGCTCATATTCACAACCAAAAAACTACTCCACCTTCTCTTTCAACCTATCTGCACATCAAATTTCAAAAACTAATAATTAGTTTATTCATTAACAAAGAAACAGAAGCAACAATCGAAAGGATTAACGAAGTACCTCTGATGGGAAGAAAAGGGGTGATTAGATGAGCAGAGTTAGTGGCAATGAGATGAGAAAGTGTTGTTGCAAACACGTTTGGCCTGTATCCAATCGTACTGCAGCTTTTGTGTATGAACTCCAATTCCTTTTTTTAAGGTTTCAAATTTTTTTCGATAAATTCATTCATAATTTGACGATGAAATATATTA